TTGGTCTGCTCCCTTCTGTAGGTGGTGGCGCACTAACGAGAACTTACATGAAATATTTGGTCATTGTTTCATGCTTGATACAACCTGGACTCAAACCTGCAACCTCGGGATTACAAGACTGCAGCACTGACCACCGAGCTACCACAATCCCATATTATTTTATTTTACCGCGTTCTTAAAGATGGGGGGTTTATTTATGTGAAATCACAAGGCCACTTGAAATCTTTATGTGTCTACATGTCTTATGTCGTGTTTCAAACAGGAAGCTTTTCACTGACAAACAAATCAAAGGACGAACTGACTAACAAATCTTCCTACTGGTACAAAAATTTTAGATTGATTGTTTGATTGATCTAAGTTGCTCAGGGTAACAGGTTTTCATTAGAGGTATGTCTTTATTTCTATTTGTTTTTCAATCTTGTAATAAAAAGATGTAATCCATGAGAAAATATATAACAAAATCATAAACTGTGCAAAACTCCTACTTTCTGTGTTTAACAGCAATTCACCTCAAGTATAAATAAAAAATTAGTTGGTAAAGTTTCTGTCTGTGTGTTTAACGCAAAGAGTAATGAAATAACTGGAAAATTCGTGGAGAAACTGACGTGGACTGGCATGAGGCAGCCATTTTTAAATTTTGATTTGACAGTAGCATGTGCCACTGTACCACATTTCAGCTCAATATGGCAAAAAAAAAAAAAGTTAGTCATTTTTTCTTTTAAGCTATGGTAGCCATCTTGGATGTTTGATTTAGATTCAGTATGTGATGGGGAATGTTCTCAGCCATAACCTCACCAAACTCCAGCTCATTATGTGTAAAATGGCTGAGTTAAAGCCATTTACATTTAGCTTTGGCAGCCATCTTGGATTTTTATTTTGAATTCTGTATCTATTGGGCATTGCTACCACCAGCTACCATCAGCTACCACCTCAAAAAATGTTTGCTTAATATCTATTAAAAAAATCATATTTGTTTGCAAATTACGTTGCCATGGTAACTCGAAATGCCAATAAAAGTAATAGCACACATCACGGTGCCGAGCCGATCGTTTTGATGTAACATTTGTACACAGTGTGGTTCTGGCTGCATAAAAGTTGATAGAAGAAGAAGTGAGACCCTCTTCAGGTGGATAATAATAGGTGGCAGTCCCCAATGAGACCACACAATGCAAACTCTTTATATTGCAGTATTTCAATAATTAAATTGCAATATTCCTTCACAACGTATCAATATCGGTGAGTAACAAAAAAGGCTGACAATCATTTTCTTCGATAATACTCTGCTAACCCCCCTCCCCCAACACCTGTTGAAAGATTTTCAGGCTGCAGAGTGGTTTAACCCCCTGGTGGAGGAAAGTGAGCAGCAGATGGTACTCACGGCAGCGTTGGGCTCGATGAGGCGCTGCTGCAGAAGCCTGGCTTCCTCCCACCTCCCCGACTGACACAGACGCTCCAAATCACACAGCTCCTGGCCCAGCACGTTAGCTAGGGCGCACACACCACCAACAGCACCTACACACACATATACACACACACGCACAGCCCAACAAGGGATCAGAAATCAGTGTTTTATATACAGGTAAGTTTAAAAACCAACGAAGTGCATTATCAATAATCCAGGTGTACAGTCCAACATTTCTCATCTGGACTGTTTTTTTTTTTTTTGTTGAAACATTTCACCTTCCGTCCAGAAGGCTTCATCGGTCAAGGAAACACACAACACAAAACTGATTCTTCCCCCAACAGTTTACTCCAAAGTGGAACAAACCAGTTATGTTGGTGCTAAGATGGTGTCTTTGTCACGCCCCCTCCTCCGGTGCTGGCCTTCTCCCTCGTCGTGGTTTGTTCCACTTTGGAGTAAGCTGTTTGGGGGAAGAATCAGTTTTGTGTTGTGTGTTTCCTTGACTGATGAAGCCTTCTGGATGGAAGGTGAAACGTTTCAGCACAAAATAAGAAACTGTCCAGATGACCTGACTAAAAAAATGTTGGGTTTATATAAGTTTCTCATTTAAAAGCTTCTTCTATCCATCCATCCATCCGTCTATCATCCATTCATCTATCCATCCATCCATCCGTCTGTCCGTCCATCCATCCATCCGTCTATCCATCCATTCATCTATCCATCCATCC